TTAGTCCCTAAAACTATTGGCCGTTTCTGGTTTTCGGCCCTCTTTCCCAACTAAGGTACGATTTGGTCCTCAATCTTTAAAAAACGTTTGTTTTAGTCGAAAAAACGAACGTTTTGAGGACTAAAACGAGGACTAAAAATAAAATTTTGAGGACTAAAATGAACGTTTTTTAAAGATTGAGGACCAAATCGTACCTTACTTTGAAAGAGGGACGAAAACCAGAAACGGCCAATAGTTTAGGGACTAAAAAAACATATTAACCCTAATTGAAATATCAACTCTGTGTTCCCGGACGCAAGCTCACGGACCTCTGGTATTATGGTATATTATGGACTCAGACCGTGTCCCAAATACATTAGCACATTCTCAACCTCCAAAGGCTAATCATCAAGGATGTCAGCAGTAGATGCAATTGAAGAAAGAGGGTCATCCTCAGATAGAGGAATTTTTCTATTGTGCCTGCGTCTGTTGGTTACATGAAAAGATAAGATAAGTTTTGACATCAAAAACCTTAAAATGAGAAGTGTAAGAAGAAATTTCTACCGAGGGGTCAGAAACTGGTTTAACCAAAAATTTAGGCCAGTGAAAACGACTTATATGCTGTTCCACAGTGAAAATCTCTTCCGTGGACAGAGGAAAAGAGCATCTGGTAGGATCATTCATCCACTGAGGGACCTTCACATCATCCTCTAATAGTTGCATACATGACATTACAGTCGTGACGTAAAATCTGTTCACGAGCTACAGCACCAATCTCAGTATCCTTAAAATGTATAGCGACAGGACTACCATCGTCCATGTCATCCTCTAGGATGGATGATGCGGAACAACCTTCCCTTTCCCACTTCTCCCTGTCAGAGTAAATGTTAGATTATACAAAAGATAGAAAAATTGCCACAATAAATATTTATTAAGTTTACCTGGGGAGGGGGAGGGATAACATGTTCCTTTATAGGAGGACGGCACCGGGCACATGCTCTGAAAATGCTGCTGGAACATGACGTGGAATTAGCCCTCCCTCGGCCCTGATCTCACTTCTCTAAGGTCTTCTCGGACCTTTTTTGTGATCTCTTCTGTCTCCTTTGTGTATCGTGTATGAATATGAAGGACTGCCGAGAAGAGCTCCCAAAATAATCTT